TAATTGCATGCACCAAACCCAAACGTGACCACACTGAAAACAGCTTGTTTTTTCCTTTTAAATCTAAACGTCTTTTCATCAGAAAAATCCTGCGTGTGATGAACAAGGCAGAACCGAAGCTGCAGAATTAGTGACACTTTTTTTTCTTCTAATTTTCTTTTAAATCCCTCTTCCAACCCCCCCAGCTCTCCCCAATTCCGGAGCCAAGAGTGCTGGTCTGGATTTGAGCAGAATTCAGCCACAGACCTTGTGGTGGGACGGAGGGAATGACACTCCTACAGCATTTCACCTCCTGCTCTGGCTCTGGCTGCCTGACTAAAGCCTGAATTCATTCTCCCCCAGTTCAATGGGAGATGTGAAAGGGATTTGGAGGGAGCTCAGCACCACACGAGTCCCCCCCCGTCCCCCCCAGTTAGCCCTGGTAATCAGGAGCAGCAGAGAATTTAAGCTCAGTGGAGCCCCACACAAACACACCAGCACTATTTTTGGTTTCAGAGCAAACCCAGGTTTCTCAGAGGGCAGCACTGGGCTGCACCGCAACATTTTTAACCTGGGTTCCCAGAGCTTATTGATTTGTCCATCTGCACCCTCCTCTTCCTCTGCCACGGAGCCACCAGGGATTCTGAAAACAATTCCCAGCCCAAATCTTGAGTTTAGATGCCAAAATAGTGGAAGTACCTTATAGAAAGCCTGTCATGAGCTACCCATTATGTGTTATTTAATTTTTTAAATATTTTACAAATATTTCCCTCTATGACTAAAGAGCACCCTGGTCAGCATTTTCCAGCTCACCTCTCTGGAGGTTTCTGTGTACTACTACTCCCAATTCAGTGCTGTAACCAAAATTAAAATTGCATGAAACTTAAGGCCAGATTCTGAGCTATTTTAGTTCCTTATTCCTGGCTGAGATTAAAAGACTGGTGCTTGTCCCTGCAACCCTTTCCAAATGAAGTCCCCCCTGCCCAGCCCCAGCACCTGCTCCCCTCCAGTATCTCCATCTGAGCAAAAAGGTTCAGACACAGAATGGGCAAAGTAGTTCAACTCCATTTTAAAAATAAATAAATAAAATTCACCAAACAATCCAGAGAAGCCAACTTTGCCTCCCCTACACCTGCACCCAGACAGCAACATTTCAAAGGTTCTGAATAAAAACCCAGGGTTTGCTTATCCTGTTGCTATCTATAGATCAGAGATTGATCTGCATCAGAAAAATATCATAATTAATCACTATTTTTACTCCAAATTGGCCAAATACACACCTCCCTCAAACAAGATTCAAAACTGAATTATCATAAATGATGTTGAAAGTGCTTTTTTCCATATCTCTGTTAACTACATCTGCATTATAGTCAGTATCGTTTTTGCTAACAGTCATATTTATTCATGATATAATTTCCTAATAAAGGTAAAAGCTAAAGTGTGCAGTTATTATACCCTGCATTCGTAATTCCCCAGGAAAAGTCCATTAGAAACTCTGCCAGACCTGGGAGTGAACTGAGGAGAGGGAAGTCTAAAGAAAGGGTACCCCCACTTTGAGGGAATGTCTTCTCCTGCATCCTTTGATGCTACAGGAGCCAAAGCAGCATTGTCACAAGCTCTCCTACTGCATTTACTTACTGAGACTCAAACCCCCACATTCCTACAAAATGTTTTGAATAATTCTGTTTTCATAAAAATCCTGTGATGATGTCATGGAAAATTTCTCAACTTCCAAACCAGAAAACTTTGGTATCTGAGCTAAAACCAAGCGGGTTTTCACTCAAGAACATAAATGCCACACACCCTCTGTTTTTGAACTATTTTTTTTCTGATAAAATAGAAAACAAAACCATTTGAACTAAATTTGATGATTTGAACCACTAGCTAAAGAGGAGAAATTGGAAATTTTTTATCAGTTTTAATGATGTTAAAAGGTAAAAAAAACCTCATAGAAGAATGGTGATGAAAACCCTGTTTGTGGTCTTGCTCCATTTCTTTGGAGCGAGGCACCAGATCTCTGAGAGGGCTGAGAGAGCCCCGAAACCCTCTAAGTGCTCACCTGATCCTCCTCCAACTGGCAAAGCCTCCTGCCACCTCCCCAAGAGGTCCCGAGAGAAATCAGCCAAACTAGTACATTTGTGTCATGGGATTTCTAGTTTCTCTTCCAGGATCTGTACATGTCTAATTAAGGCTTTGATCAATACCAACAGTTGTGATTATTTTATGTATATATGTCAAGTATGTGTGTATATATATATTTTTACACACATACACTGTCAAGTACGCTTGGAATTTTAACCTTGAGCCCTTCAAGCTACCAACTTGTTTCCACACACAAATATTTCAAAATTAAGAACTCCAATAACTAATATTTACACAGGGCAGCAACTCTGCAAAAAGAACCACCAC